AGCGGTCGCCCCGCGGCAGCGCCCCGCGACCCCCGCCCTCCCGCCCGCGAACGGGGCGGCTCGTTTCGGTAAGGTCAGGCTGTTGAAATAACGACGTTTGCAGAAAAATAATAATCTTTAAAAACCCACAACGGATGATATTTGAAAAGTTTGTTCGATACATTGTGAGACAGTAAGTCCGGACTACATTTCCTGAAGCTCTTTTACAACTCCGGTCTCTCCAAGCTTTTCTAAAAAAGGGCAAAGTTGATTTCGTAAAAGTGGGTTGCCACATCATTCTCCTTTCAAATACTAATAAAAAACACTGAGCATGATTTTTCTGGTTATCTTCCATCATCTTCGAAAGCCTAGCATGAAACTTTAAATCCTGGTTTAGTATTGCACAACCACTGTCAAAGGAGAACATTTTCAGGAGCATTAGAGACTCGGAGCTCCCCAATACTCATCAGTTACACACACCCAGAAACATGCCCAAGCACTCAGCTGATGGATGGCCTATGGATAAGCTAGTAAAAGGTCTGTTGGCTGCAAAACCAGAGAACCTATTTCCCATGTGTGTAGCTGGAATAGGATGGAGTATTAAACATATACTGCATATTTTTGTGCCCAGTCTCAGGAATATCTACAGAAACACCTACTGTCTTTGCTGCTTTCTCACTGTCTTTGTGCAGCACAGGGCAGTATGCCATTCTAGATGGACCAGTCAAGATCAGGGTCAGTCACTCCCGTTCCTCTGCACTTTACCGTGGACTCCCTATCCTCCCAAAACATGATGGCAGGGCAGGCAGAGAAGTACAAGCAGCCATCTATTCACCTGATGGTCTATTGTGACACAGCACTACAGATATACTGTGCGCCTTCACTGTGACCTCCTGAGAGAAGATAATCAGAATATTGATTTTCCCATCATATGTGCAGTTAAAACAGAACATCTGTTCATGGAAGAATCTGAAATGACCAATGCCAGCTAAATTTTGAAACACTGCCACCTGGGCTGCAATTCATCTGACTCCATATTCATATATTCACTCCATATAAACCTCCATATTCAGGCTATTCACATTTTTCTGAAGGAGATGCTTAAAATTAGCTAGAATTCAACCACCCAGGACGGACATCTTACTCCCACCATCACTCAGCAGATCACATTCTGGCAAAGGTTCTGAAGATGGTGTGAATCAGCTGACCCACGCTTTAATCAGGCTGCCTAACTGGGCAGACAAGAGTCAGCACACTGAGCAAATACCACTACTCAAATCCCTTGTCATTCACTCTTGCTCCTTAATGGCTATCACAGCACCTCGTGCAAAAAGACCTCAAAACCTGTTGTCTTTACTTCTAATACTTCCATGAAGTACTGGACCAAACATGGATTCATTGTAGAGAAGGAAAAAAAACCAACCAACCAAACAAACAAACAAAAAAAACCTTGGCTCCTCAGCACACTGTACTTGAGGTAGGGGCACAACTTTTGTCTTAAGCCTGCAAAGGACCCTGTGCTTAATACCTTTATTTCTACCTTTAGAAACAGCTTCAGTTCACAAAAGACACCAGATTAGTGAACTCCCTGTTACATGCATTTCACCTCAGTCATACTCCTGGAAAAGTTGGAAAAGTTCACTCATTAAACCCAAGGGAGGAGTGGATTAGGAGAGGGGAGAGAGATAAGAACTTGTTTCTCAACTACATTTAATGCCTTGGCGAGTATTTTAATTGCAACATTTCTGGCTTCTTCTCAGAATCTTTCCCGTTGACAGTGTCCATTTGAGTAATTTTCCTTCATAGGTCCCAACTTTGGTCAGGATCCTTTGTTCTTCAAACTAAAAAGGAGACAATCTGAAGCAATAGCTACTTTATTAAAAGACTGGATTCAGCCAAAGTTCAGGCAGCCCGCCTCAGGTAAAACTGATGCAACTTGGTTACTATTGAGGTACATCCAGTTTAAATTCCTAGTGACTTAAAGACAGGTTTAAAAAAAGCTGCATAAAAGCCACCTGATCATAGCAGATATATAAAAATCAGATCGCCATGACTAGTGTAAATGAAATAATACTTAACAGAAGGGGCTATTAAGAAGAAAAAATTATCACAGAAAGACTGTTTCAGAAGCAACATAAAAGCCACTGGGATTTTAAATACCGTGACAGTGAGATTTTAAGAAATCTCTAGTTATACTACTCAGTTAAACCTAATAAGGAATTAAGACTTTGCCTAATTGCTAGTAACAATATTCCGTGCATATAGAGCATTTTGCATCTGCTACTAATTAGAAAGGAAAAACTGAAGAATTACATGGAAAATTCATACTCTATACATCCGTATACCAACAAGGAGAGGCAGAATTGAATACACTCACAAAAGACAGGGAATTTGTCTGAGAGCATGTCTAATAGAAGTAGTTGACAATATTGCCAAGTTTGCTAGAAGGCAACAGACACAGAAAGCTGTTCAGAATTCAGAGGCATCAGGAAAAAGTGCAATAAGTTCCACTGAGCATAGAACAGCACGTCACATACTCTCTGACCGTCTGGAGAATATGCAACATGGCAAAACCTATTATCTTAATTTTAAAAGTTTTTCACTAGTGATGAAAAAAGAGTTTTCAAGTTGTGGAAACCAACAGAACTTGTGTGAAAGATCTGTTTCCTATAACAACTTCACATGCAGAATGATGAACAGGATAAGGAATATATGGTAGGGTCATACTTACAGGGTAGAGCTAGGAATGGGATTAGAGAGGGGAAGCCCAAAAGTTGAATGATGCTACTCTGCCAAGGGAAAGGGAATAATGCAGACAGCTATTCTTTCTGTACCATCCATTTGGGCATGCTGCACTGACATCTTGTCAAGGTAGCAGGTAGCAAGTGTACGCTAAGGTAGAAATCCCCAGAAACAATGACCAGCTTGAGATCAGGGTAGCTAGTAAGGATTTTAGGGACATAGAGAAGCCCACTGCTGCTACCTTCAGCTACAAGCCGACAACATTAAGGATGTAAAGAAAGTGAATAGAGAATCCTAGTAGGGTAGCAGGAAGCCTACTAGAGGCTCTAGAAGAGAGAAGCACTGATAGATACTTGCAAGTGAGAAAATAATTAAGTAGTCCCTTACACTGAGCTTGCAGTTTGGAGAATAGCACTCAGCAGGGGAAAAAAGTATCTCCCCTTCAATTCTGGGGATATGATTTCAGGCCCATAAGTGTGTAGTAGCATGACAGAAACCTACTAATTAGTCTGTTATATGCAGAAGTATTTTACCACTGAAGTGTTATACATGGTCCATATAGGTAGAAAAAACAAAATGGAAAACTAGAGACAAAATTTAGGTTGTTACACAGAATCTGAAAATCACAACCTCTGAAACAACGAGAGCAACAGAGACACAGTAAGTGCTGCAAGAGAAAACAATATTCTTTAGGACCTGGTGAAATTTCTGATATTAAGACTTTATAAAAAGAATAGGCATTAGCTAAATCAAGTTGCTGATATTTGAAAGTTAAATTCAAACAAAAGGTAGATTTTGAAACAAAAGATATTTTTATTGCTTGCCTGCTAAGACCCTGAGACTCCAGTCAGATATATTTCTCCTCACAAGATTGCAAATGCACTTTTCACACCCTTTGCAAACCATTGCTATATCTTTCTGAACTATGTTGCAGTACTTCTAGTCAGGTCACCACAAGATGTATTATTATGTTCATGTGAGTATGACTCCAGATTTTTTTTTCACATCCCCTCTCCCTTCAGCCTTCAATCACGATCCCTTTCCTTAGTCAGTTATACTCCTGCTCAGTGAACATATTATTTTCTAATATGGTAGAAATTGCATACAATCAGAATCATGTAGCTTGCTTTTCTTGCATCCTCTCTGTTTCCCTACTCAGGTCTGAAGAAGCACTCTTTAAGACTATTAACTCTTTCCCAACCAGCAAGATCTCACCATAGCTGTTTAGATTATAGCTTAGCTGTATCTACAAAATTACTTGACTGCTTCTGAAGCAGTAAGCTCATGTTTTACCTATAGTTTTTGCAATAACTACGAGGAGCCTCTTCTGTAGCTATTTCAAGCAAGTATTTAAGTTAAAGGTGAACTTTTCTCATTAAGATCTCAGTGTGCCACGTGCTTCCCACAAGACAGGCGCTCCCAGTAAAGGCCTTATGCAAAAACCCTACTCTAGCATACTCTCCAAAGCAGGTCAGCCCTCTTGCAGCACTCTTCGCCCACCCAAGCCGCCAGCACCCTCCTAGGCCCTCCCCCGAGGACAGGCTGCCCCTTCATTGATGTCCCAACGCTACAAAGGGCGCCAGCCGAGGCGTTAAAAATGCACCCACGGCCCCGAGAGCCCGCCCAGATGAGGTCGCTGGCGCCGCGCATGCGGGGCACCGCCCACCCGTGACGCTGTTTCCGGTCTCCGCCAGGTGTTTCCGGATTGCGGGCGGGTTACGCTGGTGGTGGAGGCGCAGGTGCTGGCGGACCTTTCGGCGGGCGGAGGTCTCTGTCCTTCCCACCGCCGGTTGTGACCGCTGCGGGACCTCCTGGGGGTGAGCGGCGCCGGGCAGGGTCGCGCTTGCTGGCGGGGTGAGGCCGGGCCCTGGCGCCGGCCGTGCGGAGCACAGCGATACCCGCGGGCCTCGGGGTGGGGGGAGGCCGCGGGGCCTGCGGCCGCCCTGGTGGGAGAGGGCTGCGCTGGCTGCGCCGGGCGGTCTGGCCCGCCAGTAGGTCTCTTCCTTTTAACAGTGCAGATTCACCAGCTCCCCGGAAATCCGCGGTCGTTCTGGTGCCGCTCGCGGGTCGCTCCTCTTGGAGAGCATCGTCGTGTTCCTTGGGTAAAATGGTTAAAGCTTTATGAGACGGCCCTAGGGCCGCGGGATCTCTTTCTGGTGGCCTATTTTCTGTCCTCCTTGAGGAAATGTGTTAATTTTTTTTGGTGCTTGTGGAATAGCGTTTCCTCTGCAAAGGTGAGTTTGTCTTGTCACGGTTCTACTCTCCAGGGAGAGGAAGTAGCATAGTCAACACAAGGTGTTCACTTCCTTCCTTGTTCAGTGGGACGAGCAGATACTGCCCTGTTAAGTACTGCTGTAGTTTTAATTCACAGGTTTTCTAAAACTGGTCTCTCATCTCGGGTCAGCTGAAAGTAGTGTGAGCTGGTGGTGGTTTGGCACTTAGTTGGCTTTAGGCTTCTGAGACCTATGTTGTTTTCTGGCTAACGCCAAGCACACTCTGACCTGGGAGAAGAGTAACAGATTGCAGTGGCTAGAGAGCCTCAGTCTTTCTGATTGTTACCTGACTGGTGCGGACAAATGAGTTTCACTTAAATGCAAGAGATGTTCATGTACAATAACAGACTGACTTATTTTAAAAGTTATGTTGAAAAGAGAAAATGGGACCTTATAGGTATTTTTTCCTATGAATTGTCAAGTTTTCAAATATCTCTTAATGCTTTAAACTTTTTTTTTTCAGAATAGTGAATTTACTGAAGCATTATTAAGGAGCTAGAAGGGGAGTGAGAGTAGTCTTGTTTACTTTCAATTATGTATTTTGAATACAGAAGCATGGGGTTATTCTGGGCCTTGTTTTTGAAATTTTAGGCATTCAGTTGATCATAAGAAAGAGGAGTTAATCTCAGTGTGTGTTTACTTATTTGTTTCCTTTTATTTCAAGCAGAGTATTTCTTTTCTGATAGTAACAACTCAGATTGAAATTCGAAATGGCTTGTTTATATTTTTTTAGCTTTGTTCTACAAGTTACTTTAATCTTTGAATTTTAATAAATATTTTGTCTGTCACTTGGATTCGTAGCTTTTCTTTTGATTGTCCAACAGTCCAGCTTGAACTAGGACTGCAGGAGTGCAGTATACTTATGCAAGTAAAATGTCCTTTATTTAGCACTGCAATTCATCAGTGTAAAAGGTAATCTATTATCTCTTCTGTAATCTAAGAGTTTCACAACTATTCATATGGTGCTTATTTTTAAATCTTTCACATTTTCTCCAGGTTTAAGTTTATTTTACCGTACAAGTTTCTCGCTACCATAATGAGGCTAGTAATTCTTGAAGATTATGATCAGGCTAGTGAATGGGCAGCAAAATATATCTGTAACCGTATTATTCAATTCAAGCCAAGTCAAGGAAGATATTTCACACTTGGTCTACCAACAGGCAAGTTTTATTCAAAGCCTATGTAAGTGACTAAACTGCAAACTATGTTTGTATCATTGCTAACATACAGTATTTATAAGAATGCTTATATATTTTTCATAATACTCCAATGAATTTTTAAATATGGATTTTATTTGCGTAAGAAACTGTGATAAAGTTTGAGAAGCTGAGAAATAATGTTTCTTCTGTGTTGAAAAGCATTGTAGCAAAATTTGACTATTAAGAGATTTAAATACACTGAAAATGTGTGGATACATAGAACAGTAGAAAAACTTTATTTAACAGGGAGTACACCTTTGGGATGCTACAAAAAGCTGATAGAATATCATAAGAATGGAGATCTCTCTTTCAAATATGTAAAGACTTTCAACATGGATGAATATGTAGGTAAGGTGTGCTAATTATTTGAGAACACACTATACTGAAATTTTTTTATTATTAAAAATATTAAATACTTTGTCAAAGCAGAAGGTCAGTCTAGTATGCTTGCATGTGGGCTTCTGCCCATGGGGTCAATTTAAGGATTTTTCTCTATTCCTTTATCCACAAAAATGCAAATAATAAGCAGGTGGATTCTGGGCTAAATTCAGTGCTTCACAATGTTTCTGTAGAAAGTATGCTGTCATGTAATATTACGACTGCATTTTTTTAAGACTTTACATTCTTTGTAAATAAGCTGTATGCAGAGGGAATGTAAACAACTACCTTTTGCATGCCAGTAGCAAATATTTCTTAATATAATTTCAAGTACTACTTTATCAGACTTCAGTTTGCTCTGCATGTGCCCTACACTGGTTATACATAGGCTAGAATTAAGGCTGTTTGTTTAACTCTTGTAATATGTTAATTTCATTTTAAATTATTTCAGGGCTTCCCAGAAATCATCCAGAGAGCTATCATTCCTATATGTGGAATAACTTCTTTAAACATATTGACATAGATCCAAATAATGCTCACATCCTTGATGGGAACGCTCCAGACTTACAGGCGGAATGTGATGCATTTGAAAAGAAAATTGAAGAAGCAGGGGGGATTGATCTTTTTGTTGGAGGTATGAGGAAATGCTCTATTGTTAGTTCCAATTCAAACAAATACATTGACCCTTTAATCATTATTTTCCTAACTTAGCTAAATGCAGTTACGGTGTCAAAGTTCTGCGACTAACAAAGAATCAGTATAAATACCAGAACAGAATGATTGGTGTCCAAGTTTGTAATAACTTAATTTCAGTGAAGTTTTAAATGGGTTTTTTTACTGAAAAAGGGTAACCAAAAAGAAAGAATGAGTCCTAAAACTTCTTTATTCATTTATAATGTTTGAGGATATTTGTTGACTCACAGGTCTGGAATGATTTACTTTTTTTTAACTTTGAAAAGGCATTGGTCCAGATGGCCACATTGCATTCAATGAACCCGGATCAAGTTTGTCTTCAAGAACAAGATTAAAGACTTTAGCAATGGACACCATTTTGGCAAATGCTAAATACTTTGACGGAGACTTATCTAAAGTACCAACTATGGCGCTAACAGTTGGTGTGGGTACAGTGATGGATGCTAGAGAAGTAAGAACTCGCTTAGTTCTAGTTGCATGTATCTGTTTTCAAGACTAGTTGTTATTGATACTGGGATTGAAAGTAAAGAGACCTTTGTTTTGCAGGTGATGATTCTTATAACAGGTGCACATAAGGCTTTTGCACTGTACAAAGCAATTGAAGAAGGAGTCAACCATATGTGGACAGTTTCTGCTTTCCAGCAACACCCTCGTACTATCTTTGTGTGTGATGAAGATGCTACTTTAGAACTAAGAGTTAAAACTGTGAAGTATTTTAAAGGTGAGCACTGAATCAGAGGGTACACATTTAAAAACCAAACAAATTTTAAATTACAGTGATTTAAGTCTGAGTCAACAGTTTATAGTAGCTAATATATAGTGTTATATATTAAAAATACTAAATGTTAACTTATTTCTTATGAAGGGAAAAGTGCTAGGAGGCATAACTTGTGTTCCTTACATTCCCGACAATCTACTTTGGAAAAATACTTCCTTTGCTTCCAATTTGAAATGATAGTTTAGTAATCTTCAACTGTCTGCAAACCAGCAGCAGTCTGGTGTTCTAGAATACTGGTCTTAAGTATACTGGAAATTTTCAATTAAAACTTGATACATTTATTAAACGTGATATATTTTCATGCTGCTTTTGCTATGTGCTGTAATGTGCTGTCTAGCAAACCTCAAATGTGTGATACAGACTTTGAAGCCACCTGAGGACATTTTTTTATACAGTGCAATTAGTATAACAATCTATACTGACTTTGAATACACTGCACACTTTTGCTGTGCTTTTCGTATTTGTAGTAGGTATATTGAGGCAAACTTTCTTTAAGTTAAGATTTTTGATAGTAATTGAGACTTCCTAGGTATGAATTCTGTTCCAGTGAGACTGTAGAAGCTGAGAAAAATTGTTTTCTCCTAACTATACTAGTGCAGCAAATGCAATTGTGTAAATCGGTCATCTTGCTCACTAGCATGGATATCTGTAGTAGTTGAGGCATCTGAGATAAAGGTTGCAGTTTCTGAAATTATTTTTTTAGAGCATTGTATCACTAGTGTCCATATATGTTTTAGATTGAAATTCTGGCATTAGTGTGATTTTTATCCTGATATCACATGTGGCCAACTTGTTATGAATGTTTTCAGTATGCTTTTTTCTGCTATGTACTGGGGTGTGTGGCATGTTAGTCTTTACCTGTATCACACTGCTAGATAGTGCTTGTTGTCTAAGTTAAATTTATAACTGCTTGGATATATGAAATACAGGATAGATATTTAGAGTATAAACAAAAGCTTTCTTTGGGAAAGTTATAAACCATTGTAGAGTTACTAGGTATCAATGATATTGAACATTGCTTTAAATCAAGGGCTACAGCATTTGAGTGTGTGCTGTTGTCACACTAATTAACCAGTAATACAGAGCAGAAGAATTCTTAAAAAGATTGTTTTAAACTTGATTAATTTTACCTACTCTCAAATCAGTGAGATTTTTTTTTTTTTCCCCTTTTAAGATGGAAGTGAAATCAATGTGTGGGTCAAATTTGGAATTATTTCTGAGTTTTGATCTTCAGGTTAGACTTCTTAGGAAGTTAGGTAGTTCTCAATACTGCTTATTGTGGTAGCTATTCACTGAGATTTTTCACCATTTAAAAAAAACCCTCAAGATACTGTATGAAACTTCCAATTTTCTTGATAATCAAGTACCATACTGACTAGTAACTAGAGCAATCTTACTGTCTTCACTTTTTCCTAACTGTCTCAAAACCTATTAGAGGTTACAATTATCAAGTGTACTTATGTTCTTACTGGAAAAGGGAAAGGTAACTTTTTTGCAGAATAAAGCAGAAAATAAATTTTGAATTTACTAATTAGTCTGCAATAAGTCATCAGGATACTTTTTTCCACACTTGTGCATGCTCTTAAAACTGTATGCAGAAATCTGATTATTCAAAGCATACTTGAATATACAGTGAGACCTTCCTTTCAAATAGATGTTTTAACATCTATTAAGTAAGGACTCTGGTGTCTACCTTTAAAAAAACCTTCTGTTTTTAACTTTCTTGAAACAATGTCACTAACAGGATTTAAATATCCTTCATTAAATATGGCAGAAGCAATACTTTGTAAACATTTTTCATGCTTCTAGGAAGTGGATAATCATTTCCTCTTCATTTCCCTTATTTAGAAGAGAACACTGGTACAATGTGAAATGCTTTAAAGTTCAAAATACTGTTTTAGTTTGAGTAGTGTGTGCAGCTGTTACTTTCAGTACAAATGGCTTTTGTATCAAATGTATATACTTAATATACTTAATATTTTTGCACTTACTATTAAACTCCTGAAAAGTACTACACTTGATCTGTGTACATCAGCCCAATAGTTATCCTTCATGAAATCTAAGAAACTGTGTTCTTTAGTTAAGTTGCCTTCTAAGGTTTGGGGTTTTTTTTGCATGAGTATCTGAAGCTAAGGCATTACCTCTAGAGACAAAATGAGCTGGGTTCTTGAATCAGTTATAGATGTGTTGGCTGTTTAGCATGACTGAATGTGTCACCAAGTTGAGAAGGAAATTGTAACATCTGCATTATATATTAAATAACCACACTGATTAGAAATAGATGTTGCATAAAATGTCTTTTGTTGTGGTCACCTACAATAATGACCTCAGATTGTATAGTTATTCAAATGTCACACTGCTGCAGTGACACTTAAGTTTGCCACCACATGCATCATGTAGTAAAGGTATTTGAATATTCTTTGCCATAGATAATCACTAAAATGTGTACTACTGTCAAACTTCTTTCATGGTTTTAAAGAAGATCTCTCTACTTTTAAAGTTCCATATTACTTAAATTTGTATTTTATGTTAGTCTTTAGTTTGGTGCTGAAATGGACTTTTACTTTGCAGGTAGTGAACACTGATCAGTTAGTTATTAGTTCTTAAGGTGAAATGAGGTTAAAACATACCAGTGACTGAACCTTATACATACCAAGGTATAGGTAATGTTTTTATTGCAACAAAGTAAGAAAGAAGCACCTTTTTTTTTTTTATTATTATTGCTCTGTTCTCCAGCACTTTCCAAAACTGATCTGAATAGGAAAAAAAATACTCTCCTAATCACAGCTATGGATGACTTGTATATGACCAAAAAAAGCTCCGCTAGAATAGAAAACAGTTGAACTACAAAGTTCTGAATCTGCATTAACAGTCTGGATACTTTTTAGTTTGGTTTTGCCTGTCTAGGATCACAAGTACACTATTAATTACAAAGACAGTAATACCATGATGCTGGAACACTGCAGTTCAAGCTGTAAAAGTATCAGTATGTGTACATCTGATTTCTATGACAGACAGTGGTATGAGGGAATTCTATGTTGCTGTTTATGGATTTTTTAATACAAAGGAAAGAACAGGTGGATGTCATTATTCAATTCATTTGAAAGTATTCCAGATCTACTTTTTGACAGATCTATTATCAGAGAACTGTTTCATCCCTGTTTGCTTTATACTGAAGTTGTCAATAGTATTCAGGTGATACAGGAATATATATGTTGTCTTTTATCTTCTGATTTTAAACTACTTTCAGCCATTGTTGTTCTTTTCAGTGAACTACTCAAAATGTATACTTTAAAGCAAACTCCAGATAAAAATTTGGAAAGACGTTGAAAAAGTATAACTAATGTAAAGCTGGCATTATTGCTTTCCCCCCAAGGTTTAATGCATGTGCACAATAAGCTTGTGGACCCACTGTACAGTATGAAAGAAAACTGAAAGAAGAATTGAAGAGGAGCTCCATGTGGGTCAACAGCAACAGTTTTAGGTAGCAGATGAGTCCACTGCTATGCAATATGCTGAAAACTGTTTAAAATGGGGAATCCTAGGTACTGTATTTTTTAAAAGGTCCAATATCTGTACATTCACATTCCATGTGTTTGCTGTGTTGTGCATTTTGCTTTAACATTTGAAGCTCTGTTGTTGGCTGATACATAAATGGAACAACAAACCTGTGGGATACTGCATGTTATGTAGGGGGGAAAAAGCAGAGCACTTATTCTCACACAGCAATGTAATGCATCTGCCTTGTGTTGAAGAAAATGATATTATATTTCCAGGAATTTGTAGGTTTTTGGCTTGATTAGTGTAACTACGTTTTGCATTTGTCTCTAGGCAGAATGGTTTTGGCCTTTGTCAATACTACGGACTTGTAATAGTTACACAATTTCTACGATGAAATGTTCTGTTTACATATATCTTATGTACACTGAGCTTTTGCACTTGGTTGCCTTAAATTTATCTTAAAACAGTTTTTGGGCATCTCAAGTCCTGCTGTACAATTCAGGCAAATAAAAATACAAAAACAGTGCCTAAAAATGCACCAAATTCTTGAAAGTTATAACTTATTCCACAGATAAAAACATTAAACTTCTGCCATAGCACTTTTTCCTCTCAAGTATTTCAAATTACTTTAGGATTTTTATATTTTTGGTAACTGAGCTTTATACATAAGGAAAAATCTAAATGTTCATTTCTGGAGGTACTTGTTTAATTGTACCATTGATGTTACTATTAAATGCCTGAAAAGAGGTTAGTTTACAGGAATATGTCTGCAAGTTTAACACATAATCATTTAAAGTCAACTGTTAATCACTCTGCAATAGTTACCTCTTTCTGTATCATTATAAACATTAAGCTGTCACAAGGAATGTTATTTCCTACTTTGAATATAAGTAAAACTTAAATATAAATCTATAACTTGTTTTGTTTCTAATATAAATTGATGGGAACAAAGTGAACAAATAGTTCAGGTTTTCAGGGGTATCTTAGAAATTTGTGTCTTCCACCTAAGGAAGGGAAGTTAAGAGTGTATTGATTTACACTTGGGGGGGCAGGGGTAGTTGGTGGAGCATGCCCCTGTGTTAAATACTCAGTGGCAGAAGGTGCAACAAAGTGTAACTTCAGCAATTTAACTTTTTACCTAGATGAAAGGCAGGGTAGTTTTTATTACAAACCACATTGCCTCCCCAGTACCAGAGGCTTTTCAAGATGCAATTGGACAGGGTGCTAGATAATCTCCTCTAGGGTTACCTTTCTCATGGACCAGTCTTTCCAGGTCCCTTCAGACCTGGACTGTTCTAAGATTCTATGAAATTGCACATTCTTCCATCCTTCTGTCTAGAGCAGTGTGGGAACAGTTCTGAACAGCAGATTTAAATCTGTGCTTGTTCCAACAGGCTTTCAGTCTTAAGAGAAAACTTTTGCACCTTACATTTTCGAAGCATAATGCAACACTGGGGAGGGGGGAAAGTTTAAAAGACTGTGCTTCAGGAGACTGCTGTTACATGTAGCAGATTACCTACAAAATGCCTAAGTGTGAAATGAAAAATAATCTTGAATTCAAGTTAAAGGAGGTCAAGAATGCTTTTATCTTAATGACCACAATCCATCTTGTGGCAAAATTGGGAATTCTAAAGAAGAAACAGTAGAATTTAGGTCTGAAATGTAAGTGGAAATTCATACCTTTTATATCTCTTGATTTCTAAAAGCTTTTTCTTCCTTGCAACTCCTTATTTTTGTTCTTTACTTCAGAAAACCTTTCAGTCATCTGGTTCTCTTGGCAACCTTACTAACTAAAGCCCTTTTTTGTGTTCTCATTGATTCTGTGGTCTCACACATCTTATCTCCATTACTGGAACTTCTGTGAAACAGGCCAGTTTAAATACTAGTACCTTTACTTGTCTGAGTGGGTCTAAGACAGTTTCTGCCTCTTCAGAGGTTTTTCAGTTTCTGTTAAACTTTTTTCTACAAGTTACAAATTCTATGGGATGTAGAATTCTACTCTAGGCCTCAAAATTCACAACTTCATTTTATTTCTATACTATATATTTTTTGTAATTTCAATCATTAAGATACCACCAATTACTTTCTTACAAAATACTAATTCTTCAATGACAGTACCTTCCAAACTTGTCAACTACCAAAAATCAGTCAACACTGTAAGTTACATTAAATATTACCTCTTAACTTGCAGTCCATTGTTTAAATGGCAAAGCAAGCACTTTCAAGTTCAGTAAGTCTTTTAAGTTATTGGTTCTTGGGTAAATGGGTAAATTCTAACTTAGCCTGGCACATCTACTTCAGCATTTTATTCTCCTTTTTCTCATTAAGATTTTAAAATATGTTTCAAAGGTGGTGAGGGGAGGAGAAAGAAAAAAAGTATGTGATTAGATAGAATCATGTCATTTTGTATCAGACTAATGCTTCATTTTCTCCTTCAGATGACTGTAAGACTAAAAGACTGAGTTCTAGTCTCATTTGCAAGGCAGCTTTATTCATGCATGTAACTTGCATTTAATTAGATAACATTTTATGCATCCTACTGAGCAACTTTATGATAAATATTTACTCCCTGGGTAATCTCTAGCCTTATTCCTCAGTACTTTGTCTCTTTTAGGTCTATTTAAAGGGGCAGGGGGAAATCTTTTTAGTTTCTTTACTCTTAGCACATATTACTGTGTCTGTACTTAAAAGATATCTCTACTTTCTTACATGTTATCTTCTATGATAGCATTCCTAACATTTTTCAGGGGAAGAATAGCAGTAATGTTAATGATAGAAAGCCTTTATCCACAGCATCCTTCTTCAGGATAAGTAGTGTCCAGTTCAATTACATCCCTCCAAGGATTTTCCCAATTCATCTTTCTACAGGGCTTGAAATAAAAAAAAACTAGTTTATTATGTATCAAGCTCAAAGTGTAGTTACAAGCCTAAATCTAGGAGCAGCCTTTCCTGGTGATTGAGTACTTTAGTAGCTACTACCAGCAATTTGTTCTGTAAAATTAAGATCTTAAAAATAGAAGCAGCTTAAAAGCTTTTGGAGATGGGCATGCAGTTGTAAACACAGTATATAGCATGGTCATTAACATGTGTTTATGATTGCTTTGTTTACACTTCCAAAAGCAACAGCTTATATTAAGCACACTTAACTACAGCTTTCAAGTGAGAACTGACAAACTTCAGTACATGAACAATGTAAGTAAAACTTAAACAAGTACCCCGAGGCATGTTCTGACCAAGCCTTCATGCCAAAGGAATTCTTTAAGGCCTGAATTGGTCTTATTGGTGGAACAGTTACATATCTTCTGTCTTAATATATTAAAACTTACAATTTCTTGGGAGATTAGCACAGTTAGGCTGTATTAATAGTAAACTGACACATTTCAAGTTTAACAAACAGTGTGGGACATTAAAAAAAAGTAATGATTAATTTTTCCTGATGTGATTTCCCAGCATCATCATGATTTCCTGACAACAGCAACTTTATAAAGTAAAACAGGAAGTAGCTTGATACTTTTGTGGCAACAGTTCAAACTTCTTTTTAAAGAAACAGTAGTTTGTCTATACATACCTTTCAATTATTTTTATAAATGTTTTGACACATTGTTCCTGTTATCTCATACAAAGACTTGCAGTGCAAAAAACCCAGTAATTATTTTAAATTTTAAGTGTTAAAAGTATGAAAACTTTGAAATACAATGAATAACAATATGATTAAAGCTTTTAAATTCAGTCAAGTCAAGTGACTTTAATTTCATAATCTATAAGTATCTGTACATTTCAACTATAGATTCCTTTCAATTTATCTTCCCACATTTAATTCATGTGCACCATTTAAAGTCAAATATGTTCCCTCTCACAGTGGTAAATTATACATTAGCTCATTATGTTACTGTCTACAAAAAGTTGAGAGAATAATCAGCTGCATGTCACTGATTTTTGTCAGTTTCTCTCTTTAAAACACGTATAAAGGCATCTCTCGGTACTTCCACATTGCCAATTCTTCTCATCAATTTCTTCCCTTCTGCCTGCCTCTTTAAAAGCTTCATTCTTCTTGTAATGTCTCCACCATACTATGAAAAGGAAAAATATTTTAATAAGCTTAAATGCGGTTATAGTACATTTCAGCAACACTATATTTAAGGGCTTAAAAATAGTCAGAAAGGCTAGTTCTATTACGACAAAAGATTATTTTACACTCTAAATAGTTATGCCAAAAGGCCCTAGTTAGAAAGAACAAGGCAGTAATTAAGTGTGTTGATTTGGACAACTGAGGACTGAATTTATTACCTAAATATATGCATCTGCATAAGTCTGGCTGACATTAGACACAGCCTATAGGATATCCAAATCCCACTGGAACAGCAGCAGGATGCCAGCTCAGATGCACTGTGGCATCTTGTCCTAGCACTAGGTGCTCACATCTAGACAAATTAACCAAACCCTTATACAGTGTTGAACAAGCACCATCCCACACATGTGCGTAGCAGAAGAATTCTGTTAGAGTTGTAAGAAAGGGACACTTTTTTTTTTTTTCCCCCCAAACATGTTCATTTCAGGGAGCTAAATACGAGAGAAGTAAGAGGGATCACATTTTTCCTATGCTTTGCTGAATCTTGCTGATGGTCAACTGTTCTGTAAGGCCTTATCACAATGTACTACTGAAAACCTAAGTAAAAGTCTAGTCACAATCAAGTCTCTAAAGAATCACTTTTATAGTTTCTTAAATCGCCAGAAAAAAAAAAAAAATTAGGAAACAAATATGAAGTTACACATATGTGTGTGTGTACACACAAACACACACATACATATATACTATGCAGATACAACTACTAGAAAATGTTGAGACAGGAGTAAACATAGACACACTCAATGTTGAGTTTACTGAGTGTGTAATTTTGAAAAAGCCATTACTCTTTCTGATCCACTCTTACTGTAAGGTGCAACCAGAGGTTACATGAGTTGAATTTTCAAATTAAAGCTTAGAAGTATCTGTTAATGTTCCCCTGACACTTAGGACGACAAGCAGAACGTGTCTTTGCTGGATTTCTAGGAAAAGACAGGCCTATCACGTTAGCAGGACTCTCAGAGTTACATACATCACAAAAAACTCAAACAAAATACCTACACATTTTGCCACAACGTTTTTTCTGTAGGCTTTCAGCCTGTAAAATAAAATAACACATGTGCATTAACACATTAGAACATCTCCTATATGTGAAGATAAATACTGAGTTAATGTTAAGCCTTGTTTTTCTATTAGTTTTCTAAGATGCACTGGAATCACAACATTTTCATATTTTGTATACAGAAGATAAAATTCTGAACAGAAGACTTAGTTCACATTTCTCTAGAAGTATCATATGTACATAAAAATTAGAATCTTGCCTTTTTGACTTGGATTTCTGCCATGATTCACAGTAAGGGTTACATATGCATGTATATAGATATGTACACACAAATTCTTAGAGCACTCCTGCTTTGATCCCACCTTTAATTTTTCACTACAATTTAAATGTCATATTTTTGCTGTTTCTGTTTAAATAGCAAGAAACACATCATCAAGGAAACAGTTTGCTCTAAGTGAGTGCTGATAAGAAATAATTGTGTGTTCAGCTTGCAACATATTTCCTTTGGAACAGTACAGTTCAGTTGGTTTTTTTGCTGACTGTCTCAGACATAGAACTATTCTTACTAGCTAATTTTTTTCAGTAGTAACTTTTTCTACTGCCAAAGAGGAAGTGGACACATGAGTGTTGCAAGTTATACTCCACCCACTAAGTGCAGTGCTGACCAGAAGCAATTTAAAACAAAAATATATTTTTCTTCAAATAAATTTATACAAAGTTCTTAGTCACAGTCACAGCTCAAATATATATTTTTTTTTCCCCAAAGAGGTCCAGTAGCATAT